ATAAAGTAAGGTTTTCAAAAAATTATCAATATATGACGTCAAAATAACAAAAATTGAAATTATAATTGTTAATTTTAAAAATATTTCAAAAACGATATGTCCCATGCAAATAATAATGATATATTCTAATTCTACGTTAAATTCTACATAGATCTCATATATCATATGTTAATTTTTAATAAGTTTAAAATTCCCGATAAACGTGGTCACTACCGCCGAACTAGAGGTCGGTCGGCCATATAGATTATATCATTGGACTCCTTATGCAATGTACTTTCATTTTATATTGTCAAATCCCGATTGCCAGCTTAGCCGGCTCCCGACATCCTACTTTATAATCTTTAATCCCTAATTAAATTTAATAAATATTATTTAGATTCTTTATTTAATACTTTGTTGTTTATCTTCCATAGTATAAGAATTCATAATTATTAATTAATTTAATATATAAATTAATATAAAATTACAATTTATTGTTAAATTTATTGATTAACTGCGAGATATTGTTGAGCACCGGATAATCGACGAGAAATCTATGTTTGAGATCAATATAACTTTTATATCTCATCTCTGCTTTAATCTGAAAACATAAAAATATATTTAAAAATTATAATAAAAATTAAATCAATTTATTAAATAATAAAATTACCATCATTTCGGGACTGTCAGCAGTGGTGACACAATCCATACAATACAGTATATCCTTGATATAAGCCAATAGTGCCAACACTTTAGTCTCTTTAATGATTACATCGCGTGAATTGATCTCTAATTCTGCGTAAGAATTGCCATAAATATCACACATTTTGTCGATATAGGCGTCAATGAATGGCCACATCTGGCGATCGGTCGGGAAGTCTCCGGCGCCGAAATCGGTGTCCAATTGACCGAATCGACTGAAATACTGGCCAAAATCCAGGCCCCGATAGTTATAGTTAGACCAATCAAAGTCTATGAGGTATATATCGGCCATAGTGTGACCAGTATTGTCGGTATTATCAGCGGCAGAACCGGTGGTGTTATTATTATCACGCGTTTCGCGGATCAGTATATTTCGGCGATTAAAGTCGTTGTGCGAGAAGACAATTGGACTCTGGAGGTCGCGGACAGCCCTCTGGAACCAATCGGTCTCCGTCACAAAATCGTGCCGCAAAAATGTGGCCAAATTTGCGGCCACAATGTGTTTCCGGACGGCACCCGACCGGACAGAGAGCCGAAACTTTTGGTCAAACCATTTGTCAAATATATTACTCCGCGTGTGTTCTGCGCTATTCTTCGGCACCGGAACTGTTAACGAGTGAAATGTCGCCAATTTTTGGGCTAATTTTGTGACCGTTTTCGGGCTCAGGTAGTCGTCGGCGTTGAAATGTCGGCTCTTATTATGTTTAAAAATTTACAAAAACAATTAAAATTTTAGGGCATATTTATTACTTAAATTAATTAATTAGTTTTATAATAAGCTTATTTATTTTAGGCTATATTATATTCTATTGAATAAAAAGTATTTCATAAAAGCTTCCATATATAACCATAATCATATATATTTCCCATTCACTTATATTGCCAAATAAACAAATAATTTACTGTACAGTTTCTATACCTTGAACATTTAAACGCATACCTCAATGAACTCAATGATAGTTCCCTCGCCGAATACACTCAACAGTTTTGGTGATAAACCAATTTCAGACAATATAACACTTATGGCCACAACGTGTTCGCACTGGTAATAGCCCTCAAAGGCCTGATAGTCATTATACCGGACGACCACTTTATTATAGGGTGTGTCAATATTTTCGGGCAAAAAACAGTAAAATAGTTTATTCATAAAACCTTGGCTAAAGAAAAATGATAATAAATACACATAAACATGATAAACAAAATGATAAAATGCACATTTTATTTTATTTATGCTATATTTAAACATATGATTAGTTTGTAAATACATACGTATTGTGGCGTATAATGAGCTCGTGTTCACTAACTTCGGCCCATTTGCCCGATAAATGTGTTTTGCATAAGTCGTACACTTTATGCCGATCTTCGGTCGTCACAATACTATCCATAGTTTTGTCACAATTTATTTTCTTAATTTTAATATAATAATCAACAATTTTACTAAATATTAAGCCAAGTATTTTAATAATAAAACTTGGTTTACAATTAAATCATTTATTTGATATACACTTTACCAAATAGTGTACTCGTAAACACTTGAATAGACAGTGTATCTGTTGTTATAGAGTCTAAAATATAGACGTTTGCATTTATTTTATCACAAGTTTTTGTAGATTACAAAACTTAATTATTTTGTAGCAATTTGTGGCTTCAAAAAGCAATATTTGTGTTTAATTTGTAGATAACAAATGTATTAATAAAATAATCTTATATTTAGTGTTGTAAAATTAGTCCACATTCTTTGATTTACAATACAATAATAAAAATCATATCTCATTTATAATTGCCTCATGTTAGATGTAAAACTAACTTTTAAATATGTGATTAAAAGTGCACATATTTTAACATTATTTATTATTTCACAAATCTGAATTTATAATAAATTAGTACATTAAATATATGTTTTAAATATGAGCTGGGTAAGATAGGATAGAAAATTTTAATAAATTGAACTAGCAATTTACTCTAGTTATCCGCGATGGTTACCCTGCAGTACTATGTAGAATACATAAAAGGTGTGTAATATTGTTCAGGTAACATTGCACTGATTTTAAAAGTTCACATTTTAAATTTTTCATAATATTACATACTGTACAACAATTTTGCGGATAACTACAGTACTATTTATTTCTTTTCTAAGTGTCCAAGATCAATCATAGAATTTTTAAGTTTGTGATAAATTGTAAAACGTTTCTCTGCACTTGGCTAAAAATTGAATACAAATTTTAATTAATAAATTTAATTCGCATTTTAAAAACAACAGCAATTAATAATTACCAGGGCATCAATATTACGTTTAACAACGAGATAAATGCAAAATTTTGCTTCAAATAAAAGTGTATTTAAGGCAAAGACTTTGGACTCCTTTATAAGTCTTTGTCGTGAATTGATCTCCAATTGTGTAAAAGAGTTGCCATTAATTGCTGTCATTTCACGGATATAGGCGTCGATGAAGACAAGCATCTGGTCATCTGTTGGGAACTCTTCCCAGTCATAGTTCGGCCACTTTTGACCCCAAGTGCCAAAATAATTACCCAAATCTATACCCCTATAGGTATACGAAGAGAAATCAAAATCAATTAAATAGATATCCATTTGTTGCGAGTTTTCATCATTTGTTTCGCGCATTAAAATGTTTTTCCGATTGAAGTCATTGTGAGAGAAGACAATCGGACTCTTGAGGTCGACCACAATCTTCTTAAGCCATGACATCTCTGCCAACAGATCCAGTGTCTGAAGTGTCTCGTATTGATGTCTCTGTATTTCTTGATATACTAATCCCTCTTTGAGTGATTGCCTGATTGTGTCGTCAAACCAATTATTATCACCAAAATTACTGTTTAACCACATCTTTGTGTTGTCTTTAGGGACAGGCATTTCCGTTGTGTGCAATCGCGCCAACCGTTGCGCCAATAGTGCCACTGCTCTCGGGTTGTGATCATCACTACCGGTAAAATACCGGCACTAATTGTATTAATAAAGAGTTTACGACATTTATATATTTGAAGATTATTGATAATTACATTAATGAATTCACTAATGATCCCGTTGTCAAATACCCCGAGTATTTTGGGCGCTAAACCTAACTGTGATGTTATGAGTTGAATAGCGAGCACTTGATTGGCAGCAAAATAGTCGGCCCAATCATTTTGCTCCTGACTTCTGACCACAACTTTATTATATTTTGTTTGATTATTATTTTCGGGAAGAAAACAATAAAACAATTTATTTGAAAAGCCATCCCTTAAATGAATATAAAAATTAATATATTTTAATTAATAAAATAAAAATAAAAATAGTTATTTATTGTAAGTAAACCTGTTTTGTGTAATAATGAGTTCGTTTTTATTAACATTAGCCCATTTGCCACTCAATAATGTTTTGCATAAATCAAACAATTTTGTCCGATTGGCGTCAGAAATGTTTTCATCCATTATTACAATATATAATAAAATTTTATGTAAATATTTATAAGTAAAAATATAAATGTTTACATTACATTACAAATGTTGAGCATGTGCGTTCGTGTTCTACTTTAAATGTGATTAAAGTAACATACATTGTTTTTATAATTTTTAAATGAATTTATTGATAATTACAAATAGCATACAAATGTAAAGAAAACATTTTATACAAACTTGTAATTCATCATAATAATATTTTTGTTACTTTTCAGATTATTTATTAATAATAATTATATTTATTTAAATTTATAAAATTATTCAATTAAAATCTTTTTTTTGAGGTATTGGTAGCATTTGAGTCGATTCTCGGCGTTTATCTGCCAAAATTAAATATTTTATCAATATTTAAATATTTAGTAATTTATAAATATTTAAAATACCAAGAGTTTAGTCATGCCATGATTGACAGCATTATGAATACAGAATATTGTGTTAATTATAAATGTCAATAAAGCAAACACTTTCGCCTCCTTTATAAGCCTTTGACGTGAATTGATCTCCAATTGTGTAAAAGAGTTGCCATTAATTGCTGTCATTTCCCGGATATAGGCGTCGATGAAGACCAGCATCTGGTCATCGGTCGGGAAGGCTCCGAAACCAAAGGGTATTTCCCGGTGACACCAATTGCTAAAATATGTGCCAAAATCAGTGCCCCTATAGTTATACGACGAGAAATCGAAATCAATGAAATAAATATCCATTTGTTGCGAGTTTTCATCATTTGTTTCGCGAATTAAAATGTTTTTCCGATTGAAGTCGTTGTGAGAGAAGACAATCGGACTCTTGAGGTCGACAATCATTTGCTTAAGCCATGACATCTCCGCCAACAGATCCAGTGTCTGCAGGGCTTTGTAGTGATGTTTATTTATCTCTTTATACACCAAACCATCGATGAATGATTGTCTGAGTTTGTGGTCAAAGTAATTGTCTCCGAGAATACCGTTTAACCGATTCTGTGAATTATCTTTAATGAAAGGCATTTCCATTGAGTGAAGTGTTGCCAACTTTTGGCCCAATAGTGATACTGCTCTCGGGTTTATATCATCGCTGGCACCGAAATAGCGACCCTATTGTGTTATCACGAATAACTAGTTAATATAAGATTCACAATCAAGCATGTTCATAAAATAATACATCAATAAATTGCAATATAATTCCCGTATCAAAAACACCCAACACTTTGGGCGCTAACCCTTTGGCAGACAATAGGAGACTAATTGTCAACACATTCTTCTCATTGATGAACGCTTGCCATTCGTTGTGGTCATGACATCTGAAGACTACTTTATTATCATTGATATTATTGCTGTCTTCGGGTAGAAAACAATAGTATATTTTGTTAATGAAGCCATCGCTGCAACAGAAACCACATATTTATAATGATTGTATTAATTATTATTATTTTACAAGGTAAAAATGCTATTATAATTCATACCTATTATGCGTTATAATGAGGTCTTCTTCAGCAACATCAGCCCATTTACCTCTCAATATTGTTTTGCATAATTCATGTAACTTTGTTCGCAAATCACTCGTTATACTCTCAGCCATTGTATAATATACTGAATGCCAAATACACTGTTCAATAGACTTATATAATGTCGGATCAATTGGCAAAAAAAATTTAAAAATAATAAACACAGACTAACTTTGTATTGGCAAACGGAGGGTTAGACAGTATCGGGTCTCTACCAGACTTCCCATATTGTGTAATACAATCTCGTTATCCATATTGAGTCACTTTGTTTATTAATTATCACAATGTTTTACACATTTGTTATGCAATATATGTGTTAAATAACTTATGTAAATAATAGACATGTGAAAAATAGAATTTTACACATCTTTACAGAAGTTATTACAAAATACATACAGTATGTTGAATCATCCAAAGGGTATTTTATAATAATAATGTTGCATAACCATTTTAATGTTACATAACCATTATGTAACGAACAACCTTTGCAATACCAATATTTATTTATGTGTATTTTAATAATAATGGTAATTTTGTTAAAATTAGTTGTAGTTATCTTATTATCTATAAAATTAATAAAGCTAAAAAAAATTTGTTTTGATAATAATGAACGAGAAGAATTTATTAAAAAATTTAATGAAATGTTTTTAATTATAAAATATTATTAATAAGAAATTGGCACAAAAATTAATCACGTAAAAATATTTCTAATATGGCCATTCTTGCAGATTAACAAGTACATATTTACATAAGATATTGAAATTATATTACAATGAATACTCCAATTGCATGCGAGTCTTCAAATTGTGATAGCATTTAAACATATTATTGGCGTTTTTCTAGAAAATAAAACATGTTATTTATAAATAATTTAGAAAATTAAAATTATTATCAAGCAAAAATGTTTACAAACTAAATTACCATTGCATCAGTCATGTCATGATTGACAAAATTATAAATACAAAATATTGAGTTAATCAAGAATGTCATTAAAGAAAACACTTTCGCCTCCTTTATAAGCCTTTGTCGTGAATTGATCTCCAATTGTGTAAAAGAGTTGCCATTAATTGCTGTCATTTCCCGGATATAGGCGTCGATGAATACCAGCATCTGGTCATCCGTCGGGTAGTCTCCAAAACCATAGGGTATTTCCCGGTGACACCAACTGCTGAAATACGTGCCAAAATCAATGCCCCTATAGTTATACGACGAAAAATCAAAATCAATAAAATAAATGTCCATTTGTTGCGGGTTTTCATCATTTGTTTCGCGGATTAAAATGTTTTTCCGATTGAAGTCGTTGTGAGTGAAGACAATCGGACTCTTGAGGTCGAGTATAATCGGCTTAAGCCATGACATCTCAGTCGACAGATCCAGTGTCTGAAAAGTTTGGTAATTATTTCTCATTATCTCTTCATAAACGGCCCCCTCTTTGAGTGATTGTCTTAGTTTTGGACTAAAATAATTGTCGCTAAACATTGAATTCATCCGATTTTGTGAATTATCTTTAATGACCGGCATTTCTAATGAGTGAAGTTTTGCCAACTTTTGGCCCAACAGTGACACTGCTATCGGGTTTTGATCATCACTGGCACCGAAATAGCGACCCTATTGTGTTAGTGGAAATATCAAGTTAATATAAAATAAGATTTAACAACAATTACATTAATAAATTCCAGTATAATTCCCGTATCGAAAACACCCAACACTTTGGGCGCTAATCCATTGGCAGACAATATGAGGCCAATTGTCAATACATTCTTTTCATTTATAAACGCCTGCCATTCGTTGTGGTCATGACATCTCAACACTACTTTATTATCATTACTTTTAATATTATTGTTATCTTCTGGTAGAAAACAATAATATATTTTGTTGATTAAACCATCGCTAAAAATTAAATCACATGTTTAACACAAACGTTAAATGTTCCAATATGCAGCATGATAAAATAATTATACCTATTATGCTTTATAATAAGATCCTCTTCACCAACTTTAGCCCATTTGCCACTCAATAATGTTTTACACAATTCATACAGTTTTGATCGTAATGTGTTTGCAATGATTTGATCCATTTCTGGTAAAACTACAGAGCATTTACAATATTTCGTACACACCGTCCGATCACTTGATAATAGTTATATAAATGTAATCAATTGCAGCAAACTTTTTGTGTAGGTGTCTATGATATCAAATCTTAACCATATTTCCCACATTCTGTTATACAATCTTTTCATCGGTAGTTATAATACATATTTTATAAACTATGACTCATAAGTTGTTACATTATAATTATGTAATAGATGAGTTAAATTAAATACTCGTGTGATTCATTTGCTATAATTTAATACACGCATTAATATACTGTATTTTGCAGCTGTATAAAGACATTTATAAATTACATATTTTAATTACACAATATGGACATTTAATTTAGAAACAAAAACTCTAATTACATTTATTGATTATACATAAAATCAAATTATATTATCAAAGATTTTAGTTTAAACTAAAATAATTTAGTTTAATACACATAATCTCAAAATTTTATTTTAATTTAAAATTCATGATAAATAATACATTAACTAAATAATCATCGAGATAATTTTAGAAACATATAACGTTAATAATATGTGCATTTTAATACTTTAGAATTATAGGCTCAGCCGTACCTAACTTTAAACATTAACGCCAAAAGACCGAGTAATCGAAGTACGACTAAATGTCCTAAATGTTAAAATTAATAAATAGATTTATCGAAATAACATTATATAAAATGTTTGCGCACTAACCTATCAACCAATTAACATTTTTCCACATATCATCATCATCTAAATGATATTTATTAAGCACCAAGTTCATTTGGCCGCTTTCGCACCGGTCGTAGCCATAGATGGAAATTATTGAAGCATAAAATGTGAATCTAAGGTAAGAAATGTGAGTCACTTTACGTATAAACCACTCGGCGTTCGGGAGTCGGACAGCGAAGCCATTAAACAAAAATATCAATATATAAAAGCCAACGCCGAGTGTTGTCGACAGAGTATCGTTGGGGCAAAATATTATGCCAATTAAATTCGCAATACTCGCCGCCGTACAAACGCCACCCGTCTATCAATCAAGTAGAATAATTTTTGATGTACAATAACAAAAAACACAGTATATTAGCAAAACGCAATACAGTATAAAGTATTCTACATTTACATGTACATAAAATCGTGAACATAATTTATATATACTTTTGTATATAATTTATACACATATACAGTAAATTATAATTTAAAAATATAATTTAGTTATGCTATGAATTTACCACAATCATCGTAAAGTACGCCCACCGGAATGCGTCCGACTCTTGATCGCTGATGAAGTACACCATTGTTGAATAGATAACCCCAATGAGCGTCAATACGGGTAACTCAACGAGACATTTGCTCCAATAGTAGGCGCCGGTTGAGTACCACCGGTTCCGGTGCTCATTGATAAATACCCGAATCTCGATGGGAATCGTCAGTACAGTCGCGGCCAATGCTAAGAAGCCCAGCGATGAGTTGACAAAGAATAAGAGCTTTACGTTTTCGCTGACCGCTAGATCTTTGGCCGCCAAACGTAGGGCGAGTCGGGCGGACGCCGTGCGCGCCGTTTGGGTGCCGTTTAACCGGTCGATACAAGCCGTGCGCTGACCGACATCAAAGTCGTATAGATAACTCATTACCACCGACATTGACATTGCAAATACGCCCAGTGCTACGCTTACCATCCAACCGTGTTTGACCTTGAAAATGGTTTTTTAAAAAAATTACATAATTACGATTTTAAAATAATTTTAAATGCATTTAAATTATTATGATAAATCATTAATTTAATATTATATTAGTATAATAAAGGGGTTGTAAAATACTCGACAAATAAATTACAGTATGTAGTAACAACAGAGTTGTAAATTTTTATCCCAAATTTAATAATGCCTCAAAAAAACAAATTTACACATAAATAGTATAAAAATTGCAATACATTGTGTTGTGCTAGGTGAGATTGGGTGAGAAATGCATTACTGATTAAAATCAAAAGTACATTTTATATTAAAAATATAATAATAGTCTTACTTACAAAGCGTACAAAACCTCTTAATGTCAGGTAATATAAGTGATAGAAATTGAAATGTAATTTATT